TTTGCGTTGGAGAAGCCCGGGCCAGAGCTGATGGACGACGAACCACATGGGCGGGACTCATCCCTGGTCAGCCGCACCATGGCCAAGAACATCCTTGTGCACACGCTGTACCAGTCCTTCTGGCTCTTCCTCATCTTCTACGGCATGCCACGCCACCTGCCCTCCTTCCGCACCCCCACCAAGTGCGAGTACTTCCAGGCCAACACCAACCTGTGCTGCCTGGCAGACAGCCAGAGCTGCCTGGACACCTATGGCGGCATCTACCAGCCAGGTGAGCGCTACAAATGTAGGGGACAAAAGAAGAGCGCTCTCAGTGGATGGGCGCCAGGCGATGGGTGTGCATCGCGGGAGCAGACACCCCCTGGTGGGGGAGTTTAGCTGCGAGAAGCAGGGGACAAGGATCCCTGCTGCTCTGCATTCCACATGCTCTGAATATAATCCTCTCCTTTGGATCTAGTAGACCTGTCATTGGAGTGCAAGGGGGTGCAATGTGTGCAGAGGTACCCTCCTTGCACACATCTCACCCCTAATATCATGCAAGTGGAGTCCAATCGGTCCTCATCTCCTCTTCCAACCTCCAGGCGAGACCCCCCTGTGCCAGCTGTCTGTGGATGGCGGATGCGTCATCCAGGAGCCTCGGCCGGAGGAATACTGTGACGGCAATGCGGATGGCTGTGAACGCTGGAGGTTCATGGAGCAGACCTACTTTGAGGCTGGTGAGTTGTCTTTTGAACCCTGGCAGCGATGGCCTTGCATCCTGTCAGACACTGCCAGGTTGTGGGACCCTAACCTTCCATCAAAACCGCCCTGATGGCACGGCAGCATTGCCCATGAGCCTCTCACCCCATCTCCACGCAGACGACGAGTATGCCGAGGCGGAGTACGACGCCCAGGAGGCGGTCAGCAGCATGGTCTTCAACACTTTCATCTGCATGCAGGCAAGTGAAAGGAGCTTCGTGCTTTTGGTTTGGGTGGGTTTTGCGCAGACATCCCTTCAGCGCGCATTCCAGATGGAAAAGGACGGTGTTTGAGGGTGGCTTGAGCGTTATGAATACTCTGCACCCCACCATGACACCCTCATGCCACCACCCCTCCATGCAGCTCTTCAACTTCCTCAACGCGAGGAAGCTCCGGGACGAGTACAACATATTTGCAGGGCTCTTCAAAGGCTACCTGTTCATCGGGATCCTGTTCCTCATAGCTGGGCTGCAGGCGAGTGCGAACCAGAGATCCCAGCGGGGCGGTGGAACGGAAGAAGCGGCTCGCTGCTCACGCAGCCATTGCCGCCTCGGATGCATGCTGCCGGTGAATGTTTCACACGCTGATCACCCGCCAAGCATGCCGTCCAAGCTGATTTTCATCCCCCCCCCACCCCCCCCGGCCAGGTCCTCATCATGTTCTTCCTCCAAGGCGTGTTCAGGCTCCAAACCCAGTCCGGCCTTCAATGGGGCATCTCCCTCCTCATCGGCGCGGGCGGCCTGCCCCTGGCCCTCATCGCCAAGTTTGTCACGAGGTGAGCGGGTAGAGGATGGCTTGCGGGGGAATTGTGCGGGGTGGAGCCAGGTCCATCGAGTTTCCGGATGGAGGCAGCAGGGGCGCGTGGGTATCCATGTGCAAAGCCTTGGCGCACAGCATGCGAGGGGTGGCATGTAGATCCAACTTTGCGAATGTAGGGAGCCTGTCGTGCGGATAGCCGCTGGATGCCATTGCCCAGCACACTCCTCCCCCTCTTCACCCCCGCCCCCCAGGCGCTGGTTCCCCATCAAGGAGCCCACGCCCGAGGAGCTGATGAAGAAGCGCGCCACCTTCACTGACCCCAAGGACCTGTACCGCCGGCACTGGTGGCAGTGGCTGCGGCCCCCCCCGCCCAAGCACATCCGCGAGCTGTGGAAGCGTGGCGAGTCGGAGCTGGCCAAGGTCAGCGGCGACTCTGCGCTGAAGAAGAGCAGCGCTGGGTCCGAGCTGAAGAAGATGAGCGGGACCCCTGGGCGCAAGAAGGGCGGCTCCGGCGACGACGACACCCTGGTGAAGCACGGGAGTTCCACGCTGCGCTCCCCCCGTGCCAGCAGCACGCACCGCCTAACCCGCGGCGGCAGTGCCGGCATCGTGTGAATGGCACACGGTCCACTTCCTGCCTTGTTTGCCAACCTCTCATGCATCAAAGAAAACCGTTTCATCACTTTTTTTAAATGGCCAGCTTTGCACGCATCGTAGCCAATGCACCCCTTTCCCGTCACCGGCCTGCCACTGTACCTTTTCTGTGGCACGGCTCGCATGTACATTTTATGTGTCTAGACAGCTCTCGATAATAATGGTTGATCCATCATTCTCTGATGAGGCTCGGAATCTATGCAGCATATTCTGCCTTGCTGGACCAGCTGGGCTCAGGCAGCTTCCCGGTATCTTCCCAGGGTTTTTGGTGTGCGCAGGACCCATCGCAAAGCGCGTGGATTCTCCTCCCGTGATCCGGCCAGGCAGGGCGGGATGGAGCCCGCAACTGCCTTGCACGTACACAAAATAGTGCCAAACAGTGATCTTCATTGAATTTACGCGGTGGGTCAGGGCCCCTGGAGTACCACATGTTCGCGCTCGGGGACTGAAACAGGTGACTTCTGACCCGCAGCGACGTGTTGCGAATATACTCTCCGAAAACTCCTGAATAGCTTGGAAGTCATGCGTGGCCGCAACGAGGATGTGGACCTGGAGACCTTGCGCCCGACACATGTGTCGGGCGCTGGCCCCTTCGACATGTCCTGCGAAGCCCTGTTTGCCCTGAATGAGGTGCGTGGACAACGCGTCGTGGTTCAATACCTTGTGGGGTCCGGTGATCGGGGCCCTGTATGCGGCTCTGTGCCAGGATGCCCGAAATCTCTCCCGCTCCCTGCCCTCCCCCAGAACAAGTCTGACGCGGACATGGCCAGGGCCGGTGGCCTGGCCGGGGTGGCTTCCGCCCTGCGCACCGACCTCCACCAGGGCTGCAACCTGGAGGGGCCAACGGGGCTGGCCGCGCGCCGGGAGGCATATGGGAGCAACGTCTTTAAGCCCGTCCCTGCTAAGAACTTTTTCGTCCTCTGGTATTCCGTCCTCAAGGTGCTTATGGGGGCGGCTGGCAATACGAGATTTGAGTATATTCCCCCATGGATGTGCTGGCCAAAAGTCTTGTTGAGGCGGAGAGGCAGGGATGCTTCAGGTCTCTCAGAAGCAAAGTGCATGTACAACCATGAACCAACTCTCCCCACCCTTCTGGCTGCAGGACCCGACGCTGATCATGCTCATGGCTGCAGCGCTGGTGAGTGGCAGTTTGCGACACGTCTACACGCTGGCCTGGTATTTCCCTGGCCTGAACGGCACAACGACGCTTTGGGTCAACCTTGATGCCTTGCCTGCGCAAACCCTTTGCCCGCAATCTGAGTACACACATTGGCCCTCAGTGTGCTGGCCCTGCCCCTGCCAATTTCTGACCCCTTGACCTCATTGCACTCAGAACTGGGCCAACCAATATACCCAACTCTCCAGGTATCCACCATCATTGGCACGGCTGTCAAGGCTGAGCGAGACGACCAGGCGTACACCGAGGGCATTGCCATCTGGGTGGCTGTCCTTGTGGTGTCCCTGGTTGGTGAGTGGAGGGCCATTGTCAGAGCACTCTACTGGGTTGATGCGACTTGGAAGGAGGATTCCTGGGACAGCACCCTGTCCAAGCTCTTGGGAGGCTGTGTTGGCAAGGCGTGCAGGCCCTGATGGTTTCCTTTTTAAGATTTTGGATCCAGCCCTCAGGCTTGTTGTTCCCCCAGCAGCTCCAAGGCCATTGAGCTCCTATCTCCTGATTCCCTCCTGTGCGCCCCCCTTCCTCGACCAGGGGCCGGCAACGACTGGCAAAAGGACCGCCAGTTCCAGAAGCTCAACTCCCAGCGTGACGTGATCGAGGTCAAGGTCCTACGCGGCGGCGCCCAGGCCACCTGCCTGAACAGCGAGGTGGTTGTTGGCGACGTGCTGTGCCTGGACACCGGGGACAAGATCGTGGCGGATGGCTACATGATCGACGGGCATGGGCTGGTGGTGGACGAGGCAAGCCTGACGGGGGAGGCCGAGCCCATCAAGAAGGGCGAGCGCGACCCATGGATGCGGTCGGGGACGCAGGTGGGCCGCGTGGGCTGGGCTTCTCGGCTGGTGTCCTAATGTTTTCTCCGGAAGGGGATGTGTGTTCCAGAGCAGGAGGGGAAGGCGCTGAAGGGCGGGGGAGGTTGGGGGAGTCTGCAAGCCTGTATGCATTCAGTGTCAGAAGTGAATACAAGCAGGAAGCTTTGCACAAACGTGCGCTTGCCTGCGTGTGTGTCTACAGAGCTGTGTGCATCACCAGGCTTGCCTAAACTCCTCGCAGCCCAAAACCCTGCCCCCTTCTCCAACCATCCCCCCTTCCACAACCCATCACCGCAGGTCACTGAGGGCTCCGGCCGCATGCTGGTTCTAGCAGTCGGGGAGCAGTCGGACTGGGGTCGGACGATGAGCATGGTGCAGGTGGAGTCCCCGGACACCCCCCTCCAGGTGCTCGCAGTCGGATGTTGGAGTTGAAAAGAGGGCCCTTGGGTGAACAACGATCAAGGCAGGCATTTGCATCGGGGAGGCAATGCCAAGATCATCCAGCGGAGAGGGGGGGGGAGCACACTGTGGACTTGCAGCATGCCTTTATGTAGTGTGACCTCTCTGCCAGACGAGTGCTGGTAAATTCACGCTGGCTGCACCAATGCAAAGTAGAGTCCTTCAACCTCGCCCCACTCCCTGTACAAAGACTCCCCTTCTTCCGCCATTCCTCCCCACCCCACACAGGAGAAGCTGGGCGTGCTGGCCACCGCCATCGGGAAGCTGGGCCTCGTGGTTGCGGTCATCTGCTTCTTCGTCCTGCTCATCCGCTGGATGGTGGAGAATCGCGGGTTCCCCCTGTCCCAGTTCGCCTCCGGTCCCCTGGAGTTCTTCATCTTTGCCGTGACCATCGTCGTGGTGGCGGTGCCAGAGGGCCTCCCCCTGGCGGTTACCATCTCCCTGGCATACTCCATGGGCAAGATGCTGAAGGACAACAACTTCGTGCGCGTTCTGGCGGCCTGCGAGACCATGGGCGGCGCCACCGCCATCTGCTCCGACAAGACCGGGACGCTGACCGAGAACCGCATGACCGTCGTCGACGGCTGGTTTGCGGGGGCTGCCACCAAGGGCCTGCCCCTGCTTCAGGATTTGGGATCAGGGGTGGGCGAAGCCATCGTGGACAACATCTCCCTCAACTCCAAGGTGCGGCGGGGCGGTGGTATGGTTGTGTTCACGTATGGAGGGAGTCTGGGTCTGTTTGGCCGTGCCGTGTGAACTTTGTGTACCTGTTGAGGGATCCTTATGCTATCACCTGGAGGAGGATGGCATGGATTCCTCTGCAAATGGGTTTCACTTCGACAGGGAACGCGGGCCGCCCCCC